TCTGTTTTTCTCTCCCTTCCTCCCTCTTTCGCTCTCTCATTTTCCATCCCTCTTTTATTCTCTCGCTTCTTCCCTCTATCCACACCATCCTTCATTCATCCTCTTCCTCTCCTTTCCATTTCCTTCCTCATCTTTCTATCCACCCTTCCTCTTTCTCTACTTCCCATTTCCTTCCTCCTTCCTCTATCCACCCATCCTCTTCCTCTTTCCGTCTATAATCTATCCTCACCTCTCCCCTCCCCCTGTTCACGTTGTTACCCTGGCTTCCGCTGGATGAAATTAATCGCCAATTTGTCTATGTCCCTCTTTCGTCGCTGAGTGTAATTGCACCTCCGGCACAAAGAGATGCCGCCGTTTTCTATTCATCTTTTATTTTCTTTTTTTGAGGGGGGTCTCGTTTATTTTGTCGTTTTTTTTTCTTTTTCTTTTTTTTTCAGTTTTATTTAGATTTTATGACGGATTTCGTGGGTTATAGTTTGTCTGAGAGGATATGGGATGTTTTGCTCAATTATTTGTGTTGGTTAGCCTCTATTTGGATAGTCTTTTTGGTGAATATATAGATTTTTATATACTCATGGTTTATACACATACATAAATATACACAGAAGTAATATACATTCATTTATATCAGTATTGTATGTATATAAGTATATATATATATATATATATAATATATATATATATATATATATAATATATATATATGTATATATATATGTATGTATTATATAATGTGTGTGTGTGTGTGTGTGTGTGTGTGTGTGTGTGTGTGTGTGTGTGTGTGTGTGTGTGTGTGTGTGTGTGTGTGTGTGTGTGTGTGTGTGTATGTAATGTATGTATATATGTGTGTATATATATGCATATATATACATACATACACACACACACACACACACACACACACACATCGTATATATATATATATATATATATATATATATATATATATAATATATATATATATATATATATATGTATATGTAATATATATATATATATATATATTATATATATATATATATATATATATATTATATACATATGTATACGCATACACAAACATACATACAGAATATAGACACACACAGGAATTGAGAGAAAGAATGATAATTAGGAAGAGTGACAGACAGACAGATATAAATAGATACCTAGATCCACACACGCGCACACATACAAGCAGACAAACCTACATAAACCTATAAAGATAGAGTTTAGATTTGTAGATAGACAGATAACCAACAACCCCCCCCCAAAAAAAAAAAAAATAATAAATAAATAATAAATAAAAATTAATATACGATGTGAAAAGGTACTGTTTTTTTTTTTACTACTGCACTCTATTTATCCCTTACGATCCTCTCGTCACAAGCTCTAACAACCCCTAAAAAATCACCGGAAGTTGTAGGTTTGTAACGAAAATGACTAGCATTACCCCTTCAACTTGGCAACCGGGGCAGGCTTTTCCATGCACTAGGACAATCATTGTATCAACACACATACACAGTGTGCGTGTGTGTGTGTGCCGCACACGCACGCTCGCACACACATGCATATGTAGACACACTTTTTTTCATGCATGCATAAACAGGCGGACAGAAGCACACACGTGCGAGCACACACACACAGACACACACATACTAATAAGCACACATACATATACACATACATACACACACATGTACGCACACATACATATACGTATATATACACACATATGTACACGCACATACACACATATACGTATACATACACACATATGTACGCACACAGACACTCATATACGTCTACATACACACATATGTACGCACACATATACGTATATATACACACATATGTACGCGCACATACACACATATACGCATACATACACACACATGTACGCACACATACACTCATATACGTCTACATACACACATATGTACGCACACATACACACATATACGTATATATACACACATATGTACGCACACATATACGCATACACACACATGTACGCACACATACACAAACACTAATACACACACATACGCACACGCAAATACTATTACACACCCAGACAGGATAACCAAAAAAATAGACCGACCTCAATTTTTAAATTTTATTTGTATTTTTCTACACAAACATTTACAAAATTTACATGTATCGCTGTACATATACCGGAAGAGATCAAGAAAACAGAAGGGAAACGTGCGTACATCAGCCTACCATGTGTACATTTGCGACGTACACAGTGAGTAAACACGGTGTACATGGTGAAATGAAAAAAAAATGATTGAGGATATTTGAAATTGTAAGGACGTAAAGTGGGTTAAATTATTAATATATATTTATAAAAAAAAAAAAAAATCAAAAGAGATCTGGAGAATAAAACTGATACTTAAATGAAATATAAATGTAAACAGGAATGAGAACACGTAAAGGTAACTGCTAGAATGATAATAATATAATAAAATCGAAATGATGGAAGGAAAGAATCGGGAAATATGAAAATTATGCAAGAATTTGAAAATAAAAAGATGCAAAACCAAGAAAATACAAGTTTTTGGACCACGTACGACAATGACATCATTCCTAGCAGCCAATCAGAATCAAGCAGAAGCAACGACTTGGTGTGACGTCACAGTCAAGCCTACCAATCATGAACGAGTTTCCGGAAACACGAAAAATATATTAATTTTTCACATATATTTTATTTTTTCTTACTTTTAACTTTAAATTGTATTGAAATTAGAATACAATAGGATAAAATACACATCATGACTGGCTTCCGAGTCTCTGTGACGTTATAAAATTGATCATTATAAGCGGGTTTCATCAGTGTTAGTTGCCGATTAACGAATTTTAGACGCACGTTTAGAATTACACTAAATATTCATCTTTCTTCATGTATTATATGTAAATAACAATGATCACAACTCTGTATATTCATTTTTTTATCCCATTCCCAAAAAATCCCTAAAAAAGAGAAAAAAATCATGAACATTCAAATTTTAGAGACAATTTTAACATGCGTCTAACTTCGCAACGACACATAAGCGAATAAAAAACAATAATGATAATGATAATAAAATTCAAAACTTAAACACTAAACATAAAAGCGTTTTTAGTAAACTCGTTATTAAATTGTAACCTGTTAATATCATAGCGTTTGAATGTATAATAACTATCGTTAACTCTAAGGGGTGGTGGGTAGGGGGTAGGGGGTAGGGGGGTTAGGAGACGGGGATGGGGGGAGGGTAGGTTAAGTTAGCACGACTACCAGTACTGGCAATTGACGTGGTGTTAGTTATTTTTTTTTATTTATTGTTTACATGCACGTATTGACATAAAAATATATTCCTATATATATGTGTGATCAAGTTTGTTATCAACAATTTACTTGATAAAGGCCTTTGACACGGTCGCACCAGTTGGTAGCCCTGCCGCCAGTTTTCAAAGTGGTATTTCTGAGAGTACGACAGCAGTAAGCTCTGTTTTTTGCCATATCATTTGAGAAGCTTACACTATTAGCTGCAACAATTGATATGCGTGATATATATCATAACTTGCAACAGAAGCAAATGCATCCTGAATTGCACCAAATAAACCATACTTGTATTGCAACAGTTGGTAAGACTGTCACAATCCGGAACAGTTGGCGAGCCTGACACCAAGCTGAAACATTAGGAAAGGCAAGATCAGTAGCAACTCGAGGAGGTGTCAGGGCGTCTGATTCTATTTGTTTTTGGCCCAAAAAAAAAATCACATGGTGTTTATTTTGATGACGTCACAAAAATTCCAGATGCTTTGATCTCTTCAATTAAAAAAAAAAATGGAAAATAATGGTTTTAATGGTTATATTTTCACTGAATAACAATCAAAACACGCCATAACACCTCCTTGATTTGCTACTGATCTAGCCTTTTCCTGAAAAACTTGGCCAGACAATTATTATTTACGTAAAATGTCAATTGCACAAATAATTCAAGTCAAATCTGCTAGAAGTAAAAAAATTATTTTCTTTTAAGTACTAAAAAACAAATAATTCTTATTTATGTAATTAGCTAGACACCATTAGGATTTTTAAAAAGTTAAAAACATATCACCTCATTAGTATAAGTAATAAATTGAGTCTTTGTGAATCACATTCAAATTAATATGCATTGCATACCTAAACAACCTTCATCTGCAACCTATATAAGCATAATGTATAATAAAATATATATATACACATTTATATGTATATATATGTAGATATATGACAAAACACAAACAACCCAATATAGCCACCATAACAACCATTCAAAACGCAAAAAATAACAATATTCTCAGACAGACCAATTGAGTCTATTCGTGTAACAAAAAAAAAAAAAAAAAAAAAAAAAAAAAAATCTTACATTTCTTTTCAATTATCAAAAAAAAAAAAAAAAAAAAAAACAATCATGTATTTGACAATCTTCGTATATCTATTACTAATGAAGATAAATGGGTCCTCACGAGTTGTCAGAAACTGCAATATTCAGTATTAAGGATCATGTTTTTCTTTTAAGGAACAAAAATACATATAATCATATAACATAAAAAGGGGAAAATATTTAATCTTTTATGTTAAATTTGGTTGATTTCTCGTTCAGTCTTATGATTTAATTTGCTTTGTTTTCATTGCACAATTTTAGAGAGTTGGAGCTGCCTTTCTCTGATAATTTCTTCTTGTTTATCTCCTTCTTTCTTCTTCTTCTTCTTCTTCTTCTTCTTCTTCTTCTTCTTTATTTATTTATTTTCTTCCTCTTCTTTTTCTTTCTTTCTTCTTCTTTTTCTTCCTCTTCTTCTTCTTCTCTTTTCTTTCTTTTCTTCTTTATCTTTTATCTTTTCTTTTTCTTCTTTCTTTTCTTTATCATTTTATTCTTCCTTTCTCCCGTTATATCGTCGCCTTCCTTTTCCATCTTCCTTTTGATACCTTCTTTCTTTTCTTCTTTTTTTCCATTCTTCCTCCTTTTTATTGTTTTGTTCTTCTTCCTTCGTCTTCTTCGTTCTTTCTATCAGTCTTCTATTTTGTTTCTCCCTTTCTCCTTTGTCCCCTTCTTCTTCTTCATTTTTCTCTTCTCTCTTCTTGGTCTTTTCTTCTTCCTTTCATTCTTACTTGGCCGTGGAAGCAGCTGCGAAAGGCTAGAAGGAGAAATGGAGAAAAGCGGTGATAAAAAGAGCAGATGGGATAATATGAATACCTAATAATGATTATGATAATAATGATAGTGATAATCATCATATTAGCAATACTTGGGCTAATGATGAAGTTAATAGTAGAATAAATAATGATAACAATAAAACAATAATAACAACAATAATAATAATGATAATAATAATAATAATAACAGGAACAAAGCTATCCATAACAATAATAAGAATAACAGTAGTAATAATGAAATACTGATACTACAGATAATGCTATTATTAATACTATTAGTACTTCTACTACTACTGCTGATACAGATAATAAAATAATAAGAATGACAATGATAAAAATAATAATAAGATGAATAAGAATACTGACAATAATAATAATAATAATAATAATAATAATTTTATTACTACTACTAATATAATAATAATAATAATAATAAGAAGAAGAAGAAGAATACCTATAATATAATTATAATAATAATAATAAAATAACTTGATATCGCTCGTTTTGTCTGTAAATCTGAGATTACCTCGAACCACCTCGTTCACAAAGCTGGGTGACGACCATTACTGTGAAGGGTACGAATGCGACGCGAAAGGCGCTGATTCGAGTCCATAGTCCTTGATTACCTTTATACCATAGAATTTTACTTTTTAACAATGTTTTACGTATAATGAATTTGTAAAAAATGAATTGAAGTGCAGATATTGCTGTGAATAAAAAAAAATTTTTTTGCAGATTTCTTAATCCGAAGTCTAGGCTCCGTCATCGCATTCGCACGGCCTGCGGTAATGGCGGGAACCCCGAACCCAAACCCACCTTGAAGGGTCTCTGTTTGTCCTCGAACTCGCGCAGCTTGGCCTTGTACTTCTCCAACTCGTCCCTCAAGATGGCGTCCTCCAACCTGGCCGCGTCCTCGTCAAACTCGAGGCAGCCGACGCCGTCCAGTCGCTCGAGGTCGAGGCATCCGCGCCACCTCACGCACACGCCGTTCATGATGAAGTGGGACTTGATGTGCACCTGGAGGAAGAGATGTCGCACAGGTGAGGGTGTGGTGTCGTTTTTTTTTTTCTTTTTTCTTTGTGTGTGTGTGTGTGTGTGTGTGTGTGTGTGTGTGTGTGTGTGTGTGTGTGTGTTGTGTGTGTGTGTGTCTGCGTGCGCGTGTGTGTGTGTGTGCGTGCGCGTGTGTGTGGTTGTGTGTTAGTGTATGCGTGCGTGCAGGTCTGAGTGTACGAGTGTGTCTGTAGAGAGAATACAGGAAAGACCAAACAAGTGAAGAAAACAAGAGAAATCGTACGAAAACTATAACATACGCGACAACTCAAACAACCTCTCCCACGCACCGTCCTACAAGTCGCCATAAAACATTATACACTAAAACTACACAGAAGACATCTCACTAAAAAACATAATTCACCCTTTTTGATTATGACATAAATATTAAATAATCAGCGTACAAAAGGAAAGAAAAAAGCAGCTTAATGGTTAAAAAGCCTTAATTTAAAAGCGACTTGTGGGTTACAAATACGTGTTTTTACCCGTTTTTTTTAGCTTCTAATTTCCGATCCAAATTATAGATATCAAGATTTAAATTTGATTTAATGGTATTCGTGTTGAAACAGATTGGGGAAGAGGGCGGAGTGGGGAGCTAGCCTGAGTAAGTTTCGTCTTAATTAGATTTTAAAGCCCCGTTGAATTCACGAACACGTTCCAATTAAATTCTACGCCGTCGGTCGAAGCCGTGGCCAGACGGCTCTCTACCCGTGAATACTATTATCCAGTCGTTAGAAAAGAAGAATTCGCTAAATTTATTCTAAAACCCCACATCACATTTAATTCTGAATAGTCTTCGTATATATAAAACGAACGGATAAGAAATCGCAGGATGAAACTGACCCGAAATTAAAGGCGAAGGCGGAGTCAAACCCAACCTCCCGGACGCGCGCCCCCACGAGTCCCGCCATCCACTATTGATTCGAAAGTCGGCTGTCGACATTCACGGTAAATTTAGTGTAATTTCGTGGGAGGTACACACGCACACACACACACGTACACACGTCCCCTCCATGCCCTCTTCTCTCGTTAAATATTACGTCTCCTCGTCCTTTTTTTAAGATATGAAAAGAGAAGGAGTGAGGACAGGAGAAAAGGAAGAGATTAAGGGAAGGAAACAAAATGGTGGACTGATGCTCCTGGCACTGTTCCCGAAGTGGCACCGGGAATGCTCACACGCGCGCACGCACCCAGGGTGAACACGCACGCATGCAGTCTTCTGTCAACAGTCTAAAGCAAATATGAAGATTGCAACTTTGTTTTAGATTATAAGCGAGAGAAAGGGAGATAGTGGGAGAACGAGGGGGAGGGAGGGAGAGAGGAAGAGAGAGATAGAAAGAAAGACTGGGATATAAGAGAGAGAGGGAAGAGAGAAACACAGAGAGAGATAAAGAGAGAGAGGGAAGAGAGAAAAGAGATAGAGAGAAGAGAGAGAGAAAAGACAGAAAGACAGAGAGAGAGAAAGATAGAAATAGAGAAAAGAAAGAGATATAAACGGAAAAGAGTAGACAGAACAACCGAAAGAGAGAAGGGAAAGGAGAAAGAGAACAGGCCCAGCGGAAGGGAGAATAAAAGGGAAAAGGAGAAAGGGAGAAAGAGAGGCAGAGAATGCTCGCGTCCTCGCCTTTATGAAAGTATTTTTGAAAGGATTAATATCCACCCATCTTGTCCGGGCGCCGAGGTTAAGCTATTGACCCGTGCCAACCCCCGCCCCCCCTCTCTCTCTCTCTTTCTTTCTTTCTTTCCCTTTCTCTTTCTTTTCTCTCTCTCTCTCTTTCTCTTTCTCTCTTTTTCTTTCTTTCTTTCTTTTTCGCTCTCTCTCTCTCTCTCTCTCTCTCTCTCTCTCTCTCTCTCTCTCTCTCTCTCTCTCTCTCTCTCTCTCTCTCTCTCTCTCTCTCTCTCTCTCTCTCTCTCTCTCTCTCTTTCCTTCTCTCTCTTCTCTCTCCTTCTCTCCTTCTCTCCTTCTCTCTTCTCTCTTCTCTCTTTCTCTCTCTTCTCTCTCCTTCTCTTCTCTCTTTCCCTCTCTCTCCCTTTCCCTATACCACCTCCACTAACCCCCGCCCCTCCCTCCCCCCTCACCCTCTCTCTCCCTCCCTTCCATCACATATCACTCGAAAGAATAATCATCAGCCATCACCCCCCCTCTCTTTATCCCCCCCCCCCCGCCCTTAATACGCCCTCCAACGTAATAAACAAGTGACCCGAGACTAAGCCCTCCCCCCTCCCCTCCCCCCCATGACCCTTCTCCCCTTTCTCCCTTCCTCGTCTCTTCCTCGTCTCTTCTCTCCTCTTTCTCTTTTTTCCCTCTGTACTCATCCTCATCCTTTTCTTCCTTCCTTTCTTCCTCTCTTCCCTTCCTTCTTCCTCTTTCTGCCTTATTTCCTTCCTAATCCTCTTTCCCCTCTTCTTCTTCTTTCCATCCTCATCTCCCCTCTTCCTCCCCCTTTCCGTCTCTTCCTCCCCTCCTCCCCTCTTCCTCCTCCTCCTCCCCTCCTCCTCCTCCTCCTCTCCTCCTCCTTCCTCCTCCTCCCTCCTCCTCCTCCTCCTCCTCCTCCTCCTCCCTCCTCCTCCTCCTCCTCCTCCTCCCCTCTTCTCCTCCTCCCCTCTCCCCTCCTCCCTCCCCCTCTCTCCTCCTCCTCCTCCCCTCTCCTCTCCTCTTTCCCTCTTCCCCCTCCTCCCTCCCCTCCTCCTCCTACTTCCCCTCCTCCTCCCCTTCTCTTTCCTCTCCTCCCCTCCTCCCCTCCTCCTCCTCCTTCCCTCCTCCCTCCTCTTTCCCTCTTCCCCCCTCCTCCTCTACCTCCCTTCCCCTCCTCCTCCTCCTCTCTCCCCCTCTCCTCCTCCTCCTCCCCCTCCTCCCCCTCCTCCCTCCCTCCCCTCTCCTCCCCCTCCTCCTCCTCCTCTCCCTCCCTCCTCCTCCTCCTCCTCCTCCTCCTCCTCCTCTCCTGTCCTCCTCACCCGTAACTCATGAACCTTCCTTGCTTCCTCCTCCTCCCCTTATCCCATACCCCTATCACCCCCCCCTAAAGCTATCGTATTTACTCATCCATGAACCCTTACCTCCCCCTTCACCCCCCCTCCCCCTGACTCCATCACCTTCCTTCCCCTCTCTGACCCTCGCCCCTTCCCCCCCCCTCCCTCCCTCACATTCACTCCCTCCCTGACCCTTCCTGTCACGTCATTTGACCCTTGTTTTGACCCCGTCTGACGCGCTTGTTTACCCTAATGACCTCGCTACCAGCTACTGAGTGGGCGGGGTGGGCGGGGGAGGGGGTGATGAATGGAGGGGGTGGGATGGTTGTTAGAAGGGTGCGTGGGTGGGTGGGGGTGTGAGGGGAGGGGGAGGTGTTATGGGATGGCGAGGAGGGAGGGAAAGCGGGTGGAAGGAAGGTCGGGAGGGAGGGAGGGAGAGGGAGAGGGTTATTCTTCTCTCTCTCTTTCTCTCTCTCCTCTCTCTCTCTCTCTTCTCTCTCTCTCTCTCTCTCTCTCTCTCTCTCTCTCTCTCTCTCTCTCCTCTCTCTCTCTCTCTCGCTCTTCTTTCTTTATCATTTTCTTTCTTTCGTTCTCTGTATATCTGTCTGTCTGTGTGTGTCTCTCTCATTCTCTCTCTCTCTTTCTCTCACTCTCCCTCTCTCTCCCTCTCTCTCCCTCCCTCTCTCTCCCTCTCCCTCTCTCTCTCCCCTCTCTCTCTCTCCCCTCTCCCTCCCTCTCCCTCCACACACACACATCGACACTTGTCCACACAAAAGCGCCCCTCAAAAGACTGACTTCCAGCCTACGATCCTTTCC